ATGCAATTGTACCAGAAAATCTTGTAAATTTTATTTTTAATGCTTTTCCGGAAGACTATAACTATGATTATTTATTTGAGCAAAAAGTTGTTATAATTTTGAATCCAGAATGCAACAAAAAAAAATTATTAAAGAAAATATAATGAATCCAAATAATAACAAATAGCTCGATAGTATTAATAAAAACTTAAAGCTATTGCATAAATTGGAAGAGGATTATAATCATTTTAAAAGGTGATGAAATATTCCAAATATTTATAAAAACCGTAAATATAATACTTTCTAGCTGTAAACAAATTGCTTATCGTTATTATTTTATTAATCATAAATTTTTTTTCATTTGTATTTTTTGTTTAAATTTTTGGTATTCAATATATTTGCTATGTGATATTCGAAACTTTTTTGCGATTTTACCCAGTCATAGTGTAATAGCAAGTAGGCAACATTATATATATAATGTTGTCTACTTATATTAGGTTGTTACCTACTTATGAGAATAAATTGTTATCTACTTATAGGTTTATTGTTACCTACTTGTTTTATAGCTACTCATTTTGACCTCTATTAAGCTTGTGTCGTCATTCGAGTGACAAATGATTCACGCTTGCATTGTCAGATATATTAGTATTCGCTCCATCATGAGAGTGACGAATGATTCACGCTTGTGTCGTCATTTGAGTGACAAACGATTTGCCCTTGCGTTGTCAGATATATTAGTATTCGTTTCATCATTCAAGTAACGAACAATTTGCGCTTGTATCGTTATTCGAGATTTCGATCATGTTAAAAGATATGTTATATCGATGTATATCAAATTAGCTTGCCAAAATTTTGTCACAAGTTGCCACTTGATGTCACTAGTTGTTTGCAGGTACTTGTGACAAAACTTGTGATACCTGTTTGAAAGTTTTGAGCCTTTTCGTTTCTTTCTTGATTACTTCTTTATATCTGTCACAAGTTACTTAAGTAAAGTGATAGAATTCTAAAAGAAAAAAAAAACTCTTTCCCATGGTATACCTTTGATATATACCTATCACATATATCTAGCATACATACATATACCCATTATATATGTATATATAATATATTCGATACCTATGATATATATGATACATATACCTATTATATATGTATATACTTACCTATAGTATATATACATATATACCTACCCTTGATATATACATATAGTACACCTATAGAAAAAAAAAGTAAAAAGTATGGTTAAAAAAAATAACCCAAGAAACTTGTAACTCTTGTGACAGTTATTGAGAACAGTTTTTTTCGAACTCAGACTTTCAAGAACCCACCTTTCTACTGATTTTTTTACTTGAGACGAACTTGTGACAACTTGTGACAGGAAATATTACTATGTATTTTTTAGATATGAAGTATTCTGCTCTACAGTAACCCCATTTTGTGCTATCTTTTCCAGCTTTTTCTGTTATCTATACTTTTTTCTACGATGTTTTAGTGTGTGAGGATCACAATAACCATAACCAGAAGAGGTAAACTTAACACAACCATATTCTTTGCAAGGATAATGAATAGGTGAATCCCGGTGAACTTTGCACCTATTGGAATGATAACATGGCCGATTATAGACTTCTTCAGTTCTAAGGATATAGGAACAACGATAAAATACTATTTTTTTTGATATTTATCTTGATTGAGTATATAATATATACTGATCAATATTCTTTAGAATTAATTTTCATTTTGAACTTTTTAATTCTGAATATTATACTTTCAGAAAAAATATGAGTACCCAAAGTGAACATAGCATGCCTATTGTACCTGTATCATCCGATATACCAATTATGAATATTTAAAATTTCCAGAAAACCATCGTTCACGCGTCAACAGAATCAGAAGCACTACTTTCTCGACCAGAGAGCCCAGAAAATTTCGAGCCAGAGATAGAAGAAAAAAATAACAGGGCCTTCTACCACCGTGGGGCCAAAGCCGAGAGTATAGCCGAATATATGTATAAAATTCGTGAAGATAGTGTAAGGCCAATACAATTTCTTAGTACAGATTCTGAAGATGGGATAGAAGCTATATTTAGTGAACGGCAAGGGCATTCGTTACATGAATGCATTGATAGTGATGACCCACTTCATCCCTTTATCGATTTTAATTTATCTAGAGAAAAATTTGATAAAATTGAACCCAAGCTTACAGCTAAAGAAATATTAGATTTACTTTATCGTACCTTTTCAAGAACCTGTAGAGAAATATATTCAGAATGGAATTCCTATACTTTAACAATTGCTAGTAGTAGTGATAAGAAAAAAATATCACTTCATATCTTTACTTTCGGTATGAGACTTAAAAATATAATAGCTTGTGTATTATTTACTGAGCTTGTTTATAATAAACTCCCGGTAGGGCTACAAAGCAAGGAAATTGTTAATAACATCGCCAACAAAAATCCATTTTCCTTATGAATGCTTAATAGCCCGAAGATAATCGAAATAAAATATAATGAAAGTGGTAGAAGCAGAGCCTCATTGATTCACAATAAAAAATCATATAAGCATATCCGTTCAAAGAAAGCATTATTTCCAAAAGATAGTTCTGTTTTTGATTTTATGCTTCGTTCTCCGCATGATGAATCACAAATTATAGATAGCCCAATGTTAGACATTCTAGACCCTAAAATATCGAATAATTGTAGGTTCATAGACCATGCTTCACATAAAAGTAATGCAGGAACATTCAGATCTAAAATAAAATTTATAAAAAGATTGCTTGAAGAATATAAAATAGAAGGTTATGAAGTTTTGTACCCTTCACCTGCACTTTTAGATATTTTTCCTCTAAACCGTATATCTATATCTGATTGTCCACTTTGTAAACGAGAGCACACTAGTGATAATGTATATATGATCAGAAATAAAAAACTTACCACTACTATTGTCATCGTTCAGATCAAGAAACATCCAATATCGCATTATCAACTTTCACCCATACTCACCAAATATGAACCCGCTAAAGACGAATTTCTTTAATCTCTTCTTGAGATTTCTAGCTAAGCCAGCAAAAGAGATTAATACAAAGATCATGAATCCTATCTTCTGGCATATAAAATATGTGATATGTAATAGGAATGAGAAACTTAATAAATATATTTGGAACTAGTGGGTATTTTTAGTACAAAGACCGGAGAAAAACCTCGCTCAATTCTAGTATTAAAATCTGCTCTTTAACAGTATGGAAAAAATATTATTACTGATTTTATTGGTGATAAGGTATTAGGACCAAATCTCTATTACGCGACTTCTGATCTGGGGAAAATTCTTGAAAAATTTAATAGTCTTATTCAAGGCAAAAAGCTTGTAGTTATGAATGAAACTAGTATATCTAGTGGAAAATAGCATAGATTCAATGGTTATCTCAAATCTCTTATAACGGAGAAAAGAGTATCTATAGAATGAAAAGGTCTAGAACCTTTAAGATTAAATGATTTTAGTGGATTTATGATTACAAGTAACCAGGATGCCCCTATCAAAATAGATGCTGGTGATGCCCATATAGTTTGTTTTGATGTATCTTCATGTTGTAGGTGTAATATACCATATTTTGATCGACTAGGAGAAATTCTTGATCATCCTGACATGCCAGGAGTAGTCATGTCATATCTTCTTAGCTGTGATCTGACAAAGTGGAGTCCACAGAATTTCCCTATCACTAAAATAAAAACAGATACAATAATGAAACAACTCCTAAACTCTATTCGCTTTATAATACAACATATTAAATTATGGCCCGAAAATCAAATCGAAAAACCAATCTGTGGAAATTTATATCAAGATTATCTTACTTGGTGTGGGAATGATGATGAAGATCGAATCAGTAATAACAAATTTGGAGGTTTTCTTCCACCGATAGAAATCGAGAAAAAGCAAGTACAGATTAATAGAAAAAGAGAATGGATATATATTCTTGATCGATCCAAAATCGTAGCTAAGTTACGAGAATCGGTAGGTGATATTGAGGAATTTTTAGATACACCTGAAGCTGAAACATTTACCAACACTTCCACGGATATCCCTGTATTCAATATATCCAAAATTACACCTACCAACCCAGAAAAAAAGATATCTGAGTCATCGACCACTGATCACATCAAAAAAGATAAGAATGTATCACCTGCTTCACCTATTACTAATATAACCCAGGATCACTTCGATTCTATAACAAATGAATCTACAGTTGCTTTGCCATCCAAGTCTACCGATATATCTCTGCTTCCCGAGATCGAACACATAGAATCTGTAGATGATAGATCCGAACCAGCTTCTGAGTTCATTAAACCAGCAAATGATGAAGTTGAACCATCTTCTATTGAATCTGTGGAAAATGAACTGAGAGCCAGCAACGAAGCACCTCCCTAGCAGATATCATACCTGCCCAGATATTTGACTAGAGAGCAACGAGAGATACGTCTTTGTAAAAAAGCTATCGAACTTGGTAAAGATCCTGACAAATTCGTTACTATAACTAATAAAGATAAGCTCGATTCTATAGCATTCTGTGATAGAATGCAGACTGATGCGAGAATGTGTGGTTATGCAAAGGAGGCTGAAAAAGATCTTAATGAATATATAGACATGTTAGTGCGAGAAAGATTGATAAGTGAAGAAATAATCTGCCGTTCTCTCGAGAAAGATGGAATCATGACTTCATGGCTTGATACCGATGAGGAATGGAAAAAAATGATTAACATACTCCAGGAAAATGGTATGTTATGGTAATTGCTTAGTTAATAAGGAGCGAATAAGGTAAATTTCATAGGTAGAAGCTTTGATATAGGGAAATTTTTGCTTCTACATATGGGCAATATAAAATTTTCAAATTAAAATATAATGAAAACTCTGTTCTTTATATCAAAATACTGGTTTTTGTGATACCTAAAATGATATTTGGTTAATTTTTCATTTTCGAATTTAATTTTAAATATGAAAGTGAGAATAATATAACCACTTTGTAAATCGAAAATGCCTTGTAATTGGTTATTAGTTGAAGATACTAAATTATGTAAAAACCCAGCAAAAGGACAATATTGTGCTACCCATATATTCAAGATTCGAAAAGGTATAATAATTTTACAACCCTGTAAAGGATATGGTCGAGAGATTAAATCAAGCCTTCAGCTTTGTGTTCCATGTAGCCAAGGTAGGAAAAGAGCGTATAAATATTATAAACAGAAAAATAAACTTATCATTTACATAAGTAACAATCAACTATTATCATTTTCATAACTATATACCATATTAATACAATGCAAAAATGTATATCCAAGAGCTGAAATATAATAAAGAATTCAATGAACCTGAAGAAGTGCTTAATCTCTCTACTAATCGTTAGATTAAAAGGAAAGGAAAATTATATAATAGATTGTTATGCAAAGGATATAAATATGCCAGAGATCTTATGCATTATTTAGAAGATATTCTACCAATTGATTTAGATGAATACGGTACAATCAACCCCTAGCTGACTTTTATTATCCTGTTCTGATACCACTTTTTTCTATTTTAGCCCAAAGAGAAGACATATGTAGAAGATGTCCAATTACTATGTTATCTATTGTCGAAAGAGGAATGAGTCTTTTCACTATAGAAAGAAATGGAAAAATGTCTTTAGATAACTTGATCGAGATGAATTACTTCAGCTTATCTGCATTATTAGAAATGTGTTGGGATAATAATAAAGCACGCAAATGGAAAAGTGTTATACTTGTGAAATTCCTCCATCATCCGAATTTGATTTCCTCAAAATATAGTCCAAATGCCTTATACGATGCATTCACCAAGGCAAACGTTCT